AGCTGAAAGACCTGTACAAAGAAAACTACAAAACACTACTTCAGGAAATAAAAGAGGACACGAGGAAATGGAGACACACCCCCTGCTCATGGATTGGGAGAAGTAACATGGTCAAAACGGCAATAGTCCCCCAAGTATTATATAGACTCAATGTGTTCCCTATAAGGATTACCATGATTTAAAAAAAAAAAAATAGACCAAACACTGTGAAATTCATATGGAACAATAAACCCTCACAAACAGTCAAAGCAATCCTTGGGGAAAAAGATGGGAGGGGTCACCTTCCCCAACTTAATAACTATACAAACACAGTTATTCAAATAGCATGGTATTGCAACAAAAACAGACCTGCAGACCAATAGCACAGAGTTGAATATCCTGACACAGACTCTCAAATATATGATCATTTAATCTTTGATAAGGGAGCAAGAAATGTGAAGGGAGTAAGGAAAGCCTCTTCATGAAGTGGTACTGAGAAAACTGGACATGGAAAAAAAATGAACTCAGATGAAAATGAAAAAGTTCATTCAAAAAAGTGAACTTTTGTGACTGCTTACCACCAGGACAAAAGTCAGGATCAAAATGGATTAAAGACCTCAATATCAGACCTGAATTCATAAGGTATGTGGAGGAAAACACAGGCAGAGCCCTCCATGATATTGAAGCTAAAAGCATCTTCAAAAATGAAACACCACTGACCAAGCAAGTGAAAACAAAGATAAACAAACGGAACTACATTAAGAAGCTTTTGCACCTCAAAAGAAACAGTAACCAAGATACAGCCCATACAATGGAAAAAAATATTTACCCACGACCCATCAGATATGGGGTTAATATCCAAAATATATAAGGCACTGATAGAACTTTATAAGAAAAAAACCTACGACCAAATAAAAAATGGAAAGAAGAAATTAACAGAAATATTCACAAAAAATAGGAAAGGCACATGAAAAAAATCCTCTATATCACTAATCATCAGGGAGATACAAATCAAAACAACATTGAGATAGCACGTCACACCACAGAGATTGGCACACACCCAAAAGAACAAGAACAACCAGTGCTGGTGCAGATGTAGGGAGAAAGGGGCTCTCCTTCACTATTGGCGAGAATGCCGAGTGGTCCAGCTTTTATGGAAAACAATATGGACATTCCTCACAAAACTAGAAATTGAGCTCCCATTTGACCAAACAATACCACTTCTGGGAATATACCTTGGAGACCCAAAAGACAGCAGAATCACTATCTGCTAACTATCTCACGGTGATTCAATACAATTTTAAAAAATAAAGGAAAAAAATGACAAAAAAAACCCCCACCATCTGCATGCACTTCAATATTCGTTGCAGCACTATTCACAATAGCCAGAATCTAAAAACAACCTGAGCCCCCAAGAACTGACAAATGGATAAGGAAACTATGGCACATCTACACAATCGAATACTATGCAGCTGTTGGGAAAAGTGAAGTCATGAAATTTGCCTATAAATGAATGGAAATAGAGTGTCATACTGAGTGAAATGAGTCAGACGGAGAGGGACTGATATAGATAGCCTGCACTCAGGCTGTAGCGATAACACAGTGATAGCACAGTGGTAGGGCATTTGCCTTGCACGAGGCCAGCCCAGCCGAGCCAGGTTCAATTCCTCCGCCCCCCTTGGAGAGCCTGGCAAGCTACCCATGATGTACTTGAGAGTATCTCGCCTGCACGGCAAAGCCTGGCAAGCTACCCATGATGTACTTGATACAACAAGTCTCACAATGGAGACATTACTGGGCCCGCTCGAGCAAATCGATGAACAACAGGAGGACAGTTCTACAGTGCTACAGTGCACACATTTATGATAGAGAAGGGAGTATTAAGTATGACAATAATAGCTGGGAATGATCATGCTGGACAAGAACTGAATGTTAAAAGTAAGTAAAGGGATATATACCTGATAACCTTTCAGTATTTGTACTGCAAACCACAATGCCCAACAGAGAGGGGGTGGAGGGAGAGAGGGAGGGAGAGGGAGAGGGAGAAGGAGGGAGGGAGGAAGAAGGAGAGAGGGAGAGAGAGAATAAAAGCAGAAAGCATCTGCCATAGAGGCAGGCTGGGGGAGGTGGGGAAGGTGATGGGAGGAACACTGGGGACCAGTGCTGAAAAATGTCCACTGGTGGAGGGATGGGTGTTGGAACACTGTATGACTGAAAGCTAATCGTGAACAGCTTTGTATGAGTCTGCCTCACAGTGATTCAATAAAAATATTTTAAAAAAGAAAGAAAAAGACAAGATACAATAAGCATTGGAAGGGATCTGGAGAAAGGAAAATGGACAGCCTGTGCACTTGTGGTAACAGAACCAACTGGTGAGTCAGTCTGGAAAACAGTCTGGCAGGTCCTCAAAAACCGAAAGCAGAAATATCCTATGATATTTCAGCTATTCCAGTTCCTTCCAGGTGTTCCACCTCTGGGTATTTGTGTGAGGAAAATAAAAACACTGATTTGTAAAGGTATCTACATGCCCCATTCACTGCATCATTACTGTTCACTGCAAGATAATGGAATAGCCAATATATGGAAAGAAACAAAGTGTTCAACAATGGCGGAATAGACAGAAGGAACCATGCTTCTACCTAACAGCGATAGACTTGTCAGCTACTGGAGGAAAAGAGATGTGATCTTTCATTTGCAATAATTAAGAGAAATAAGAGGTACGAAGTGAAATGCATCTGAGAAATAGGAAACTCCATGATCTTGCGATATACAAGGAACCAAAAAAAAAGGATGCAGGGATGAGGCTCAGATGTAGAGTACATGTCCTGCATGTATAAAGCCCTGGGGTTTGATTCCTGTGTGTTCTCCCATTCCCTGGCACTGCCATGTATAGCCCCTACAATGAACCTAAAAATATTAAAGTTAATATTATAATTAAACCAAATCAACAGATTGATGGGTGCCAAAGTGTGGAGGTCGAGTGGATATATTAGGTAAAGGGAGTCCAAAAGTGCTCAGGAGATGGGTCTGTGGAGCAGAGCACAGACTCTGCATGCAGAAGCCCTAGGTTACAGTTCCACAGATCCTGGCACAAGCAACACTCAACACGGAGGGGGAAGCAGTTGATGCGATCCAAGGGTGAGCCACCGGTGCACATATTAATATGAACATGTTAAGGGGCCAGAAGTAGCTCATGGGCTAAGGGCATGGTTTACACAGAGGAGGCCCTGGATCAATCCACATCAAGCATGATCTTCCAAGCATTGCCAGGAGCAAACACCAAGCAGGAGTAGTTCCTGAGCACTTGCAGGTGTGGCCAAATCCCTTTTCACTCCCCAAATTTTAAATGCATGCATATATGTACACATACACACACACACACATACACACACACACACACACACACACACACACACACACACACACACACTTAAACAAAATGATGGGCCAGGGAAATAGCAGAGCGAGTAGGGTGCTCGCTTTGCGCTGGGGTTCAATCCCTGGCACCCCATACAGTCCCCTGAACCCTGGCAAGGGTGATCCTTGAGCACAGGGCCAGGAATAAGTCCAGAGCACAGCTGAGCGTGGCCCAAAAAAAGACAAACAATAACAAGAAGGCAAAAGGATGTTGGGAGGGTCAGGAGGAGACCAGTTTTCCCATCAGCAAGTGTTCAATCCGACACTGTGACTTCCTATCAAGTATCCTGCATGTTAATTCCTTTCCTACGTAAAGAATACCACATTTTCTTTGGATTTATGAGTTCTTCTTTGGAGTATCTTCCCAGTAAGTTCCTTCTATCTTTACTAAATAAGGAGTCAGCATAAACAATGCAAAGACAGTACATGAATGCCTATATTTTGTGGGGGAAATATTCCACACCACACAGAATATCAATTCTGGTCCCTGTCTTCCTGGCTGGCTTGATCGGGTCTCCATTTAAATTCAGGCTCAAGGGGGCCGGAGCAATAGTATAGCAGGAAGAGCATTTTCCTGGCATGCAGCTGACCCAGATTTGATCCCACACATCCCATATGATCTCCAGAACACCACCATGAGTAATTCCTGAGTGAAGAGCCATGGTCAGCTGTGACCCAAAAAGCAAAATCTGTCACTGTCACTGTCCTCCCGTTGTTCATCGATTTGCTCGACTGGGCCCAGTAACGTCTCCATTGTGACAATTTTTACTGTGTTTGGCATATCGATACGTCACGGGGAGCTTGCCAGGCTTTGCCGTGCGGGCAAGATACTCTCGGTAGCTTGCCGGGCTCTCTGAGACAGGCAATAAAAAGAAACCAGGGACTGGAGCGATAGAACAGTGGGTAAGGCGTTTGCCTTGCATGTGGCTGACCCGAGTTCAAATCCCAGCATCCCATATGGTCCCCTGAGCACCGCCAGGAGTAACCCCTGAGCATCACTGGGTGTGACCCAAAAAGAAAAGTAAAAAAAAAAAAATTCAGGCTCAATTATTAAAAAGCCAAAAGTTTACAATTCTGTTACTCCAAATGCAGATTAGAAATCTGTCCAATAAATATAACCTCTCGTGAATTCTTATTTATATTTCAATACAAATGTCAATATAAAAGTCACAAGAAAGATCACCTACTGTTTAAATACACCTCCTGTCCTGAGAGTCCATAAAAAAGGAGAACAAACATTCTGTAACTCTTTAAAATACACTAGACATTTTTACACAATGAATCATTCTAACAGAAGAAGAAAAATGACTAGCTACTGCAAATCCAACACAGTTGGTGAGCTGATGTCATTGGTCACTTATGCACTGGGAGGAATCAAGTGGAACAGTTTATCCTGAAACGAAACTCAGTCGGGCTTCTCAGATTAAGTTCTGTCTTGAGAGTTAGGGAGTCACAGCCCAGAAGATATTCCATACATATAGAAATACTGTTTGTTTTCATTGTGAATTTTGAAATTCAATCTTAGGAAAACATTTCTGGCTGTAACTCTTCCAGTCAGAGAAGAAAAAAGAGTAAACACACTTAGATGTTTTTTGGACACATACGTGTATTCATTCTTGTCCTTCGGTTGATGCAATCCCTGAAGTTCCACCACGAAGTCCTCATGCAATAAACAGTGAGACACAGGAATACTGGAGGGCAGGAAATAGAACATTTGTTCGAGCAGGCAAAGAATGGCGGCCAACATACTAAAATTAATTCCAAACTATGGATCTGAATCTTGAGTTAATGTATAACATCCCAGAGGTTTGCAAATCGCACACATTTTTGTCCGTTTCTTTCATCTGCTGAAGGAACCCTCTTTCCATCCTTACCTTCTCCTCCACATAAAGCAAATTTCTTCAATATCTTTGTCCTGATGACTCAGGAGTTGAAAAGCATATTGTACTGTATGATTTCTATATTGTTACAGCCAAAGTAAAGTATCTAAGTCTGGCTACAAATCTTCCCCAGGTTCTTCTGTCATCCTTTTTCCTTTAATAAGATGTTAGTAATAAGTATTATTCCCAAGGCTATTCTAGTAACACATGCTACCAATCTTAAGCTTGGTGTTTAACCCTTCAACTTTTTCATAATGAAATTTACATAAAAAATTTCAAGTGGGGGCTGGAGCGATAGCACAGCAGGCAGGGCGTTTGCCTTGCACTCAGCCAACATGGCCGACCCGGGTTTGATTCCCAGCATCCCATATGGTCCCCCAAGCACCGCCAGGAATAATTCCTGAGTGCATGAGCCAGGGGTAACCCCTGAGCATCGCCAGGTGTGATCCAAAAAGCAAAAAAAAAAAAATTCAGAGTGAATGGTTTTGAGTGAAGGTCTAAAAGATTTCATTTGACTTATGATCTTTTTTTCCCCTTTGCTAATATTCTGGTTATGACATATTATAACTATCTCGAGTTTATCAAATAATCCATGTTACTTCACTAGTTTATATACCCAGGGCAGTTGTATAAATGGCTCTTTATACAAGGCCATGTTTCTTTTAATGTATGAAATTTGAGTATTAATAACCATTATGTGTCTCTTACCTACTACGGAGAAAAAAACTTCTACCAAGGATCATCAGCAAATCAGAAAAATTGCTGAAGACATGCTGGTTTAAAAATTCAATTAAGGGGCTGGAGCAATAGCACAGGGGATAGGGCGTTTGCCTTGCACGCAGCCGACCTAGGTTCGATTCCCAGCATCCCGTATGGTCCCCCGAGCACCACCAGGAGTAATTCCTGAATGCATGGACCAGGAGTAACTCCTGTGCATCACCGGGTGTGACCCAAAAAGCAATAAATAAATAAATAAAAAATTTTTTTAAATTCACTTAAGACTGTGTCAACCATTTGTTTGTGTAAAAACAAACAATAATGCTTTTTTTAAAAAAAAAATTAACTTTCCTAATGAGGAAAGGCACAGAGAGCTTTTAGAGAGCATGCTTGATATTTCTGGATCTCGACATCTCATTTTTTTTTTAAATAACTTGCTTCTTGGGCTTACAATTCCAACTTCACGAAATAACGGAGACTCCTATTTTCCCAAAGAAGCAGAGAATCAGACCACCGGGGTATTCAGCCTGCATTGCCAAACAAGAACTTCCAGGCTTTTCAATGCGTCTGGAGGTCACTTCTTAATCCAGGAGGAAAAAACAAGGAACAGATGGGAAAGTCATGGTCTGCCGGGGGAACAGAAGTCAGTCCAGGAAGGGACCACAGACACCCAGACCGGGATCCACGTCCACGGCCGCCCAGGAAAGTGACCAGGGCAAGGGCAGCAGCGTCTGCTGGGCACCGTGCTGGCCCTGAATCATCAATATTGGGGGTGGGGGGGCACCCAGAAACGCTCAGGGGTTACTCCTGGCTCTGCACCCAGAACTTACTCCTACCTGGCTCTAGGGGGGGTGGCTATGGGATGCCAGGAACTGAAACCGCGTCCCCCTCCTCCTCGTCCACTGCAAGTGCGGTCCCCCCTGGACCCCCGGGGCTGGCATCCTTAAAGGGGCCGCGGCCCGTAGACGGGGCGCGCATCCCGGGGCGCCTGGCCTGGCGGGGGGGGGGGGGGGGAGTCGCGCCATCGCGAGACCCCCCCCAGGGTGGCCCGCGGCCGCAGACGGGGCGCCCCCCGCGACCCCCTCGGTGGCCCGCGACGGGGCGCCCCCCGCGAGACCTACTCGGTGGCCCGCACGAAGCCGCAAGAGCGCGCCCGGCAGACGTAGAAACTCTTTCCTTTATTCACGCCATCGCGGACGCCCGTCTTCAGCAAGCAGAGGGTCCCTGAGGAGAAAAGGTGGACAAGGATCAGGCCGCGTTACCCCCCCCCACCCAGAGCCCCGGGCCCCGAGGACCCCGGGGCGCTTACCGTGCTCGGGGCACCGGACCAGCTGCATGATGCTCCCTCCGCTCCGCGTCCCGGAACCCCGAGTCGTCCTTCCGCCTTTGACCCCGCCCCTCCCCAGGCAAAGCCAATCGCCATCCAGCTCCGGCGGTTGGCCCGCCCACCCGCCCCGCCCCTGGCCTTAACTCCCGGCGCTGGCTACTCTCAGCCAATCAGACTGGAAGTTTGCTCACCTCCAGCCAATCACGGGCACCTCGGGCTTGGCGCGCCCGAAATCAAACCTGGAGCCAGGGAGCCCAGGCAATTGACTAGGGGGCGGGGCCGAGCCTGGGGGAGCGGATTTGCTGCTGGCTGCGTTTGCAGCAAGGCTAGGAAGGTTTGCCTGTTGGGAAAGAGGAAAGAGCGAGCTTGTTGGCGCCTTTAATTTTCCTGTGGGATCAAGAAGTGGCCCTAGAGAGTGCCCTGCCGCTGAGGCAGGGTGGGATGGGGGCATGGGGGTGGGAGGGATACTGGGATCAGTGGTGGTGGAGGATGGGCACTGGTGGAGGGATGACTGTAAGGCAAGATAAACCCCACGAACACAGTAAATTTCTATAAGAAGATGGCACAAAACCCCATGCTACAGCCACTTTTGCGGCCAGGCGACCTCTTATGATACTCACAATAAGCAATAGAAAATAAATTATCTAGCAGCCATTTTCACCATCAGGCCGTGGTCCTCCCATCTCTCTGTCTCTCTCCTGTATCTTGCCTTACAGTAGCCCCTTCAGTTCTTCTTTTTAAGGTTAGTTTTGATTCTATTAAATTCCTGAGCTGTTGTTTACCCATGAAATTGTGTGTGATTCCTTCAAATCTGAATGAGAGTCTAGCTGGGTAAAGTATTCTTGGTAAGGCATTTATTTCATTTTCTTTAAACTATGACCCACCGTTGACTTTGACTGAGAGTTTCATACAATCGCTCTCTGTAAATCTAAGGGATGATCCTCTCTATGTAATCTCCTTCTTTGATCTTACTGCTTTCAGTATTGCATCTCTATGATGTTCTGATTAGGAAATGTCTTGGAGTCTTTTTATGGGGGCACTTTTAGTTGGTACCCTTCAGGTTTCATGAGTTCACAAAATGTATGGGTGAGATACAGGAGAGAGACAGAGAGATGGGGGGACCACGGCCTGATGGTGAAAATGGCTGGTTTAATTCATCTGCTAACGTACTTATAGGATATCTGATTGGGGGGGGGGTGTAGGACATAGGTGTGATTGATCATTTACAGAAATAAAACATTTGGCAGAGGCAAGTCTCTTGAGATTAATGAAAAACATTTGACAGAAGCAATTCTCTTGGAGAGATTAACTCAAGGAGACAGTCTGTCTCCCATGGACATCTACATTGCTTTTTTCTTTACTTCTAATTGTATATGTTAAACAACTAAGTTTACTTCTTTTCAATACTTGCAGTTGTTTGGATAAACACAGTAAGAGAAGAAGATCCCAAAACTTAGTTCCCTGGGGTCTGAGAGCAAGCAAGACTTTTACCATAAATCCCAGACTAAGTCTCTTCAGGCCAGATCAGCTTGTCCTTCCCCATAGGGGTCCTGTCTCTTAAGCCATCGTAGTTTGCCTCAAAACCATGCATTTATGCTTTCTAGACTGTCCCATTTAGATACCAGGGTAGCTTTGCCTCTTGCCCTGGGTCCATCCCAGTCCCATCAGCAGGACCTCCCTTTTGGGGTGTTACAGCAACCAAAGTCTGAGCCAAGTAATTATGACAGATGCCCAGGAGTAGATATATTTCAGATTCAGAGCCTATCACTTCATGTATTAGGAGCATAGCTTTAAGGTCTTTCTGTGTTTAAGCAAAGAACATTGTTGTATAGTCACTGTCAACTGTCACTGTCTTCCCGTTCATCGATTTGCTCTAGCAGGCCCAGTAACATTGTGAGACTTGTTACTGTGCTGTAGAGTAAAATAAAAAAAGGCAATAGGGGAAGTAGAAAAGCAGGTACAAATACACAGCACTTCAAATACAAAGCACTACAAATACGAAGTCCAGAATTACCAGAAAGTTTGGCTTATAAGTAATCAAGTCTGACTTGGGGAATTGAGACGATGAGGGGTAAAGCACAAAGGAAAGGTGAAAGATAAATTTTAACTAAATTACGGATGCTAGCAAGAGCACATTAAGCTTCTCTGGTAGGAAGAAAAGGGGCAATTTACTGAAGAAGCCTAAAACATTTAGGATTAATATCCAACAGATCCTCTCTATGTAATTTCCTTCTTTGATGTTGCTGCTTTCAGTATTGCATCTCTGTGATGTTCTGATTAGGAAATGTCTTGGGATCTTTTTTTGCTTTTTGGTCATACCCAGAGATAAAAAGGTGTTACTCCTGGCTTTGCACTCAGGAATTACTCCTGGTGGTGTGCAGGGGACCATATGGGATGCTGGGAATCGAACCTGGATCAGCCACGTGCAAGGAAAATGCCCAACCCATTGTATTATTGCTCCAGCCCCTCTTGGGGTCTTTTTTTGAGGGGACTTTTTTAGCTAATACCTTTCAGGCTTCTTGGATATGGATGCCTGTATTCTCCAGCCCTGGGAAATTTTCAGCGATTATTTCTTTAACTTTTACTCCTTATTAAGTTTACCTCCCTGTTTTTCTGGGACTCCAGTGATTCGTAAATTGTTCCTTTGAAATTCTCCCTTGTGTCTCTTACCCATTTTTGCGCTATTTTGAGGTCTTTTTCCATCTTCTGTTGTTTCCTGTATGCTTTCTGCAGCACACCTTCAAGCTCACTGATTCTGTCTTCGCAGTTATCATTCTACTGTTGAAGGCACACACTGAGTTTTTCATTTCAACTACTGAGTTTTTTTTATTGATAACACTTCTGTTTGTAATTTTCTTATTTCTGCTCTCCTTTCCTCCTGTATTTTATTGGATGTCTGTTCCTCTGTTTCTTTTAGTTCATTGAACATCTTCATCATTTCATCTCTGAATTCTTTATCAAAGAAATTTTGTATGTGAGTATTCCTTGTTGGGGCTTCATAGCTCCTATCTTCCTCCACTCTTAGTTGGGTTTTTCTGTGCTATTTTCTCAAAGTGCCTGTGGCAGTTTGGTGGTGGTGATCTCTTCTTTCCCTTTCTAGAATATTCATTTTTGTTGGGGCTGGACCGAGACTGAGCCATTGACTGTACCGCACAACGGGCAGGAACATAGGGACCCATGACAATTGGCGAGATTTCTAGCATGTCCTAACTGGTTTGGATAAGGTGGAAGATCTTTTTCCTTTAAGCTGCCTTTAGTAAATAATTTCATAAATTTCAGTATGTTAAAAGAGGCAGTTTTTCCTTCTCTCACAGAAGCCCAGCCTGATCTTTGACATGTAGATTTCGGGCTCTGACCCAGCCTTGTCTTTGGGATGCAAACCCAAATAGTCCAAGAAAGGTTTTCTTTTTGGTTTTGTATCTCTTTCCTTAGGCCAAAATCCACTGAACCTGCAGACACAAGGAAACAATACATGTTGTGCCTGCCTCAATGTTCTTTCTGTAACTTCTTTTGATGATATCACTGTATTGCGCTAGATCAATAAAAGGAGACCTCAGGACACTCTGCCTTTTGTCACAGGATCAGAGAGAGTCCAGTGATCCTCCATGAAAATAATTTCTCTTGCGTTCCTTGTCTCAGTGCCTCTGACTGAATAAATGTTCACACAACACACTTCCTTTTTGGTATTCCTTTATAAATATATGGAGCCACTTTGGATGGATCCTATGAGTTATAACAGGGAAATATAACTGAAAAAGCCACGCCCTTCACCTTCCTAATCTGTTTGCGGGTTTAGCAGAATTCCATAGGTTTGAACCCCAAACAGTGGCCTCCTAGGAACTCGCCCAAGGCCCGTGGCCACTGCTTCTCTCCCCACAGCTGATCCCACCTCTGGAAAAGCCTGTGTGTGTTAGTTTTTAGAGGGCCAGTAAAACAAAAAAATCTGAAATGTCTAGGAAATCTGGAAGATGATAAATATGGATATCCTGGTGATCCAGAGGAGCAACAAACCTGAAGCATCCTTCATTTATACAAGTACTTAGTAAATATTCTTTTTGTATGCCCAGTGTTGCGAAAGTGTTGATAAAGAATTAGCACAGCGGGTAGGGCATTTGCTTTGCATGCAGCCAACATGGCAGACCCGAGTTCGATTCCTCTGCCCCTCTCCGAGAGCCCGGCAAGCTACTGAGAGTATCTTGCCCGCATGGCAAGCTAGCCGTGACGTATTCGATATGCCAAACACAGTAACAACAAAGTCTCACTATGGAGACGTTACTGGGCCCGCTCCAGCCAATCGATGAACAATGGGAGGACAGTGACAGTGACAGTGGCATGTACACAAGCATATTTATACACACAGCTTAAAGCAAATATTCAAACCACAAAAGAGCTTAATATTCTGGAGGAAACTGAACTAACACCTTCATATAAATAATGGGAAGAAATTGTGTTTAAGTGTCAGGCTGTGTGGACTTTTTCTGTACTCTAGGAAGGCAAGGAACTCATTTTAAGCTTCTGTACTATCTCGCAAGCCCCAGGCAGCAAGAATTTAACAGTAAACGAGATAAAGACAGAGCTGAAACTTCATATATACTTCTCTAAAGCATCTGTGAGAAACTTAGATATACAATGAGCAAAAACTAAAGTCAAAGATGACCTCACAATGTTAAAATTACATTATGACAATAATAATAGCTTTAACTATTGGTTGCACACATATAATTGAAACTATTAGGAAAGAAGTAGTTGATGAAAGCTAACTTTACAGGAAAAAACAGCATAGTAACTCACTTTATTCTTAAGTAATGACCGTTTTGAGACAAAAAAAATCAGTCTCTGAATAGAACATTAAGAAAGTTTTCTGCAGAACTAATACCCACCCCCAACCACATGAATCGAGTCTAGCCAAATCACAGAAAAAGGAAACTATTCCATAAATTTGAGACTTCGTGGCTGAAGAGATAGTACAATGGGTAGGGCAGTTGTCTTGCAAGCAGATGTCCCAGGTTTAATCCGCAACACCCCCTATAGTCCCCCAAGCACCACCAGTAGTAATTCCTGAGTGCAAAGCCAAGAGTAACACCTCAGTATTGCCAAACATTGCCCAAAACAAACCTCCCAAAATAGGATTTATGAGATAAAAATATTTAAGAACAGTTTATTTTATCTAACCATATTTATAATAGTGAGACGATAAATGTTTCACATTGGGTTAAAAAACAGTCATGATACCTAAAATAAATAATAATGATTTATGCAAGATTTAATTTTCCAAACTGTATACATACCTTGGGCTGGAGCGATAGCACAGCAGTAGGGTGTTCGCCTTACAAGCGGCCAACATTGGCCGACCCAAGTTCGATTCCTCCGCCCCTCTCGGAGAGCCCGGCAAGCTACCAAGAGTATCTTGCCCGCAGGGCGGAGCCTGGCAAGCTACCCATGATGTATTCGATATGCCAAACACAGTAACAACAAGTCTCATGATGGAGACGTTACTGGGCCCGCTCAAGCAAATCGATGAACAACGGGAGGACTGTGCCTACCGTGTCATACATACCTTAATATATGTGTCAATTTTGTTTTATATTTTGTATTTGGATCCTTCTTCCTTCCTCTCCCTTGTCATTGTAACAATAAGTGGGGGTGGGCAGAGAAGGGTGAGGAGTCACACCTGTTCCTATGAGGTGGCACTTTGGGTGCGGTGCTCCCCAAGTGATTTTTTGGCCCACCAGGAAGTGCTTCATTGTAAAAATCAAAGAAGTGGTGCTACTCAGCCCTTCACTGCCTTTGGTCACTCTGGCAATTCTCAGGGGCCTCCAGGGCTGTACCTAGTGATGCTTGGGGGATCAAACCAGGTTTGTCTGCACACCAGGTATATGCTGTGACTCCTGCATTATCTAGTTGGTCCTTTTCAACACATTTTATGAATGTAGAAATTTTTGCTCTGAGGTTTACCTTTGAACTCACTGTACTAATACTCCTACCTCAGATTGCCAATGTATAAATGCAATCTTTGAACCGCCAAGTAACAAGAATTTCTAAGGACTCACCAAAGGACAGATGATGTTTTTTCTCAACCTATTTCAAGTGTAAATTTCTCTCCTAATCTACTTCTAAGAGGTATATGAACCTGAAAGTCTGTGTTTACAGGGAGAATAATGATGAACTCTCTAATGTCTTCCTCTGACCAGCCCTCAAAACTCTGAGATAATTAGCATACTCTTTGATCCAGAGTGCAGAAATGATTGACGTTGACATGGTGTTCAAGCACATTCTAGATGTAGTGCTCATCCCAGGGGTTACTGTATTGCTCACACTTTTGGTTTGCATTTCCTGGCTTGCTCACACACCTTTAAGGGTTTAGCAGATTAAACCCCTTTTATTGTCTGCTCACATATTCATCTGGCTGCACTGTGGCAGGTTATTGTCTGTGACACTGGGGATCGAAGACTGAAGAGCTGCCAGATCCAAACAGTGGAGTGTTTAGAATACGTGCAAACATGTGACAGCACCAGGGATCGACCTTGTGACCTTGCACTTTTGAGACAGATGCCTTGAGCCACTGAACTATCCCCCACTCCCAAACATTTATACCCCTAATTACTTTCCAACCTTTGAGAGGTCTTTGAAGAAAGTACTGTATGGACCTCGATTTTGAGCAAATTTCAGAATTTAAGTTTGTTTTTATAAAAGCACAAGGCTTTATTTATTTATTTATTTGCTTTTTGGGTCACACCCAGCGATGCTCAGGGGTTACTCCTGGCTCTGCACTCAGGAATTACTCCTGTGCTTGGTGGACCATATAGAATGCCGGAGATTGAACCTGGGTCAGCTACATGCAAGGCAAATACCCTCCCTACTGTACTATCCAGCCCCAGCACATCGTTTATTAAAAATGAATACCGGGGCTGGAGAGATAGCACAGCGGGTAGGGCGTTTGCCTTGCACGCAGCCGACCCGAGTTCGATTCCCAGCATCCCATATGGTCCCCTGAGCACTGCCAGGAGTAACTCCTGAGTGCAGAGCTAGGAGTAACCCCTGTGCATCACCGGGTGTGGACCCCCCCCCAAAAAAAGGGAAAAAAAGCAAAAAAAAGAAAAAAGAAAAAAATTAAAATGAATGCCTAATACTAATTTTTCTCTTTAAGTCAGACACATCTTTTACCTTCTACAAAATTAATGCCTAGGATACGTCCTTTAGATGATATAAATCCACAGGTTAATGCAATAAACTTTCAATGTAGGACTAGACAATTGCAAAGTATGGGACAAATTATTTTAAAATTTTAGATTATACTAATGACTTTTCATCTATAACTTTACAAAGACTTCATAGTATTCTATGCTTTACGCAGATGGATTCTGTGGTGTTTAGTGTCCCTCAGTAAAGGAGTTAAGAACAAGCAAAAAGAAAATCCTAATGTAGAAACAATTCCAAAACATCTGCATGAAATATGAAAGCTTAGATTGATCAACCAGAATTTTGACATCTTAAGAGAAATCAGTGGGTAACAATTGAAACGGTAGAAAGTCTTTAGTTGTTGATGGTATTCATCTTTGAACAGACTCTGACTATGGAACAAAACCCAGAGTGGTATACACACTATTAATTCCTGGGAAATGGAAGAATTACATTATACTGGGCCTGTATACATTAAGGTGTTAGATACCTGTC